ATTGAGTAAGAAACCAGTTTTTTGTTTTTTTTTTTACTAAACCACCTTGTTCACCTAACCATGAGGTCATCCTGAATGATCACATTCAGTTTAAGAACAGTTCCTCCTAGAGTTGACTTAAAACTTGGTAGAGTATGACAAACTGATGTTAAGATTTTATAGAGTTAAACAATTAGCAAGTGTTCTGTTCCCTAAAGAAGAGTCTGTAGGAGAGATTTGAATCAGGACACATTCAGCTCCAAGAGCCAGAATACCCAACTACAGGGGCACAAGGAACACAGAAAGTAATTCCCTCCCCAGTCATGAAGTCTGGAGATTGGAAGTTCCACCTTTGTGACCATGGTGATATGATACTGTACACATCCTGGACTGGGTCTGTTTGTTGCTCTTTATCCTTCTTGGGCATGTGGTGGCAATGTACTTGCAAGCTTTATATAGTTGTGCAACTGATGAAAGGTCCCAGGCCACCTTTCTGTCCGGTGTATACCTTCTGTTCTGGGCTTGCCTTCACATTCTGTTCCCTGTTTCTGGAATACCCTTCCCTAGCTGGGGAGCCACTTGCTTAGCATTTTAGACCTATGTGAATATCACCTTCCCTGTGACGTTTCTCTCATTTCTTTGTGCCCCATCAGTGTTTTTCATTTGACCCTTTGGGTGATATTTTATGTGATTGCTGTTTTTTTCCAGGTCAGTCTCCTCTCTAGACCAAAAAACTCCTTGAAGGAGACAGTTGACCAGTTCATCTTTATAGTCCCATTATTGCCCCACAATTTGTCCTGAATAAATGCTTCCTGACTTGATTCACAGTATGGCTTCCATTTCTTTGCACTATGCTTAACACTTTCATGTCTGCGGAGTCCTCATATGAAGATAATGTTTTGACACACACAATGTATTTTTCTTTTATCTTCTGTCAAACTGGTTTTAAAAAATACACGACTTCTCACTGCTGTGTTTCGCTGTTCTATGGACATCACTATCACCATTTACATTTGCAGCACACTAAAATCCCCTGTCCTAATAACTGTAGAGGTAACAGATAAACTTCCTCAAATACCTGGTAAGATAGCGTAGTAGAGAATATATAATTTAGACTCAAACTGACCTAGACTTTAATACTTATTCACATGTTAATAACTGTGATCTTAGGCAAGTTCTTTAAGCCTGTTTCTTGCATTAAAAAAAAAAGAGAGGGCTGGAGATATGGCTCAGCGGTCAAGAACACTGGCTGCTCAGTTTCTTGGCTAAAAGTCAAAATGTCCTTGGGCTTGTTAGCAACATACTAGGTTCCAAAGCCCAAAAATGTCAAAGTATTTGGGATCTTGTATCTAATCCTTAAAAGATTTTAGGGTTACCTCTTCAGAGGGGGGGAATGTTGGAGGGGAGAGAGTGGGCATGGATTTAATCAAAACACCTTATATGCATGTATGACATTCTCAATAAAGTTTTTGTAAAAATTAAAAAACGAACACTGGCTGCTCTTGCAGAGGACCAGTTTTGATTCCCAGCACCCACATGGCTGCTAACAACCATCCATAACTCCATTTCCAGGGGATCTGATGCCCTCATCTGACCTCCACGGGTATTGCACAACACGGTTGCACTTTCATGCTGGCAATATACTCATATACATAAAAATAATAAAATGTTTTTTTTTTTTAAAAAAAAATGCAGTGAGACCTATCTCAAAAAATTCAATAGGTAAAGTGTAGGTACCTTGGATGACACTAGGAAATGATGAATGCTTGATGTTAGCGCCTCTGCTCAATTAAGCAGGTGGACAGGTGGACTGACAGGGAAGTAAGGCAAGTGAGCAGTGGTTAGTGGGTCTGCTTGTCTCTTTAAAGGGTCAGGGCCAAGCCTTTGGAAGTCTTGCTGAGAAAGATGACCTGCTTTGTAATTCAATCTTGGACACAGCTTTGGCTTCTCTGTGCCTGCTGTGACTTTCCTGCCTACAACTGGCTGGGACTGCAGCCCTGGGAGCTCTGTGCATGACAGTTGGGAGGGGGCGGATGAACAGCTGCTGCTAAGGCAGGCAGTTGGTTGGAAAGCAGGCAGACGGCAAAAACAGCATGTGGACATCCCCACACGCTGCTGTTCAGGTGATATCACAGTCACACATGTAACCTCAGCACTTGGAAGGTTGAGGCAGGAGGATCACTAGGAGTTCTAGGCCAGCCTGGGCTGCATAGTGAGTTCCAGACCAGCCTGAACTAGAGAGTGACACCCTGTCTTAAAAAGCAAAAGCCAAACAACCAGAAAGGCATGACAGGTCTAGACCATTCCATGAGGGAGGGTGGGGGCACTTTGTTTTCTAAGCACTCCAGCCCTTTTTCTACTTGTCTTCAGAAAGACGAAAATAGGAAACATATTTATTGGTCAGTCAGTTCTAGGCTTCAGCATGCCATGGCTTTTATATCTGCCTGAGCTGCTGCAGTCTCTCCACAATGAACGCTGTCCTCCCTTTGTCCACTTCACCCCACACCTCACATCTCTCCAATGCTACCCTTCTTTCCGAGCCACCACGATTCTTTAGACTAAATCTGGGTTCCTTATGAGGTAAAATTCAGATCATAGTATGCACTCAATAAATATTTGTTGAGAACTTCTAAGCATATTTGACCACTTTTAATTTCTCCTTAATGTTAGGTTATAGCAGTACAGTAAAAGTCCCTGTGGAGTTAACACTTGGATTGTTCTGGGTGGTTATTGACCACCCACTTGAATCTTAGGGGCAGTGGGCTGATGGTATTTCTGACCCAGCATCCAGGCTGGTGAATCAAGAAGTCATTTGAAAGCCAGAGCCATTTCTTAGTTCATGTTTGTATATTCTGTATTTACTTTTGGAAATCTAAAGTAGATCCCCCAGATTCATCCAGAAGTTCCTTGAAAGTTATCAGATATTTTACAAGTGTGAAGTTGGGAGTCAAAGACCTAGTTCTATAGTTCTACTTACTGAGAAACCCACATATAACAGCATTAAATATGGCAGTGTCAGGCTTAACTCTCTCAGCTCTGCTACCTCCTCCATGTTGGAACATGTTGCCTCTCTGAGCCTCCATTTCTCTCGGCTTAGAGATCTATGATGATTGAATATTAAGTAAATAAAATGCCCTGTGGAGGTCCAGGAGCACTTAATGAGTGTTTACTGGGTAGTCTTTCTAATTTGGGAATGTTGGTGTAGGTGGGGTGGTTATCTGGGTAATGTGTTACCACTTATTAACTATCATGAGGTACAGATACATGTAGAGAAGAGTCTACTTAGAATTCAAAGGGCTGCTTTACAGAGCTGGTTTTGTTGATTGAATGTCAAATTAGTGCATAACAACCCTTGCAGTGTGCCTTAAATCTTTCATGAGGCTTTCTGGTTTTCACTACCAGGACTTTCTGTTAATAGCCCCATACTTTACTTCCCTGAAGTGTCTTACTTCAAGCAAGCCCACTAGTCCTCCTGACAGGGCACTCTGCACTGTGTCCTGCCTGCACAGTGCACCCTTCTCTGCTGTCTTTTCCCTTGTCCCTCCTTGCTTGCCTCTGTTGACCCAGGGTCTTATCATGTCTTCTGGGAGGTATGTTAAGTGCTCTGCCAGCCTGCCTGTGTGCCTGGCCTGTTTTTTCTCACTGCCAGTACCTCTTGGATTCCAATTCCAAACATGGTATCCCTCTGGGGTCACCCTTTCTTCCGGTGCCAAGAGAGAATGCATTCCAAATGGAACACAAGTGTGCCTCTCATGCTGGGCTCTCCTCTCATTCTGCTGGGGAACAACAGAGAGCAGGATGTGGCTGCTTCATCTGCACTGCTGAAGTTTTCCATCTCATAGCCCTACTTTCTCTCAGGACAATGTATGTTGTCTGCTAAGAACAAAATATGAAGACTGTCATAAGAAACCTGGAGTCAAAGAACTTTGTCAGAGTGCTTCAGGGAGGACTAGAGCCTTGCTGAGAAGAAAGTGGGAAAGAAAGAAAAACAAAACCCAAACTCTAGTTTTTCGATCCTCCGTGAAGTGGACTATGTTCTGGCATTCCTTCTCAGAGCCACCGGAAGCATTCCTCCCAACAAAGGTGGAGTTGGTGGTGAGAAGCCAGAGGTGAGAAGCCTCCTGGGAGAACAGATTGATCAATGTTTTGAGTTTCCTATGTGGAGATAGTAGCTGAGCCTGGCAAGGCTTTGAGAGCCCAAGATGAGCACCAACAGCAGCACAGTGGGCCAGCTCCTCTGGCAGGGGCCCGTCTGCAGTAGCTGGAAGCAGGATATGGAAGGGGCTGTCTACCACCTGGCCAACTGCTTCTTGCTCTTAGGCTTTATGGCAGGCAGTGGGGTGTATGGATGTTTCTATCTTTTTGGTATCCTGGGCCCAGGCTACCTTTGCTATGTGCTGTGGGGTTGGCTGGATGCCTGTGGGCTGGACATCATCCTTTGGAGCTTCCTGCTGACAGTGGCCTGCCTGCTGCAGCTGGCACACCTGGTGTATCGTCTGCGGGTGGACACCCTCCCTGAGGAGTTTGACCTCCTCTACAAGACGCTGTACCTGCCCCTGCAGGTGCCCCTGCAGGCTTACAAGCAGATTATTCACTGCTGCCACGAGCAGGTTCTGACACTGTCCACAGAGCAGACCTATGCTGTGGAGGGTGAGACAGCCATCAACCGCCTGTCCCTGCTCCTCTCTGGCCGGTAAGCTACTCTGAATTGTCATTGCCTGGAATTTCTTTCCCCAGCCCACACTTCTCATTTCCTAGTGTCCCTTTTCCTTTCATGTCCCCTTTCATTGAGGGGAGGATGTGGCAAGTCAAGCAAACCAAACATTTTTCTAGGAGTGACTTTGCTTCCTCTTTCTTAATTTTCCAAGAGGAAACTAGATCATGAGGCATGGTTATTAAGAGTGACTGCGTGTGCTTCCTTGCAGCAGCTGGAAGGTGTGGCGAAACCAGACCCGAAATGACCATACATACACATGCGCGCACACACACACACACACACACTCCAGTATGTGATACCTACACTGAAGCAACCTTGTGAGCTTTGGAAAATTGGCTATTTCAATACGATTAATTATTTCCTTTCATATGCACTTGACATTTGCTAAGCACCAACTGTGTGGGGGAAATAAATCAGAAACAGGAGTTTTCTAGTAACCACTGTTCCCTGCCAGAGCATCAAGGAAGCATCCCCATTCGTGCTTGAGATATCCCATACCAACTCTGCAGGAGAGCCCATGTACTGCCTGGTACAGAGAAGAAACAGCCCTGTCCACTTTCCCATTCCCATTATTTTACTGAGATTCTATACTGTAAATCTGAGGGCCGCACAGTAGCAGATTAGTAGTGATGCCCATTCATGTCTCACTGGGAATTTAGTGTAGACACCTGCCTCTGAGGAAGACTGACAAGACTTTGACCTCAGTGAGGACTGGCGAATGTCCACTCAGCTTCCATGTGAATAGTGCCATTGATAGCTAATAAGAAGACACCATGGGGCTCTGTGCTTCACACTGGTAGGCATTTGTTCATTCTTTGGAATGTGCTGCAGTAGCATTTGACCACAGGCAACCCCTTCCATCAGCTTGCTGGGGGTCAAGCCTGTGATAAAAGATGGTATTCAGAACTCTTTAGTTTCAGGAGAGGAAAGGAAGGGGGGGAAAAGGAAAAGAGAAGAAGGGAAGGGGGAAGGGAAAAGGAGGAAGGAAGGAGAGACGGAAGGAGGGACAGGAAAGAAAAAAGAAAAAGCTTGCCAGCCACACAGTGGAGGAAAAGCTTTTGATGATGAGATGACAACTGCTGTTAATAGTCACAATGCATTCTTATGTCTTAACTTACAGAATCCAAAGTGTTATGTAGATCAATTTGGAGATTTTGATTCTTTTTGTTTTTTCTGAACTCAGAAGACATGGGTTGATTGAGTTATGACAGGAGAGTATTCTGGGGAGACGTTTCATTTATGAGTGGATTGAAAGTATAAATAAATGCAATTATTTGTAAAACATGCACTGTGACTATTGCCAAAATGTTCACTACCTAGTTCCATGCTTAAGTGCAAAACAATGAATGTAAGGAACTTGCTCATTCATAGGTCCTCTGTTCAATGGATGGGGCTGAGGTTAATGGAAAATGCCCCGTCTACTATATGGTGTTCATTTGATAAAAGCATTACAGTTATCATATGTCTTATATATAATAAATATGCTGTGAGCTTTATGAAACCATCTCCCTGAGAAAGGGAAAGAAGGATTTGGCTTTCTATGTACCTTTTCTTAGTATACTACCATCAGAAGTTAGAAATTTGGTCATTTCAGTTTTTCTCTTGCTGTTTGACTAAAGGTTTGGACTAAAGGTTTTGTTACTGTTCCTGTTGACTTGTTATCTTTCATTGTCCCAGCTTTGCTAAGTTAGACAAGGGGGAAAAGCTTCTACCCTATACTGGGCTCTGGTTTTAAGAGAGGCTCACTATATTTAGTTTAGTGTGATACCAAACACTTCAAAGTAACAGACAAAAACTCTTCTTGTGCTAGGAGATGCAGTGTCATCTGGAGCCCTTTGCTAAAACCCCAGAACCCTGTTTGTCTTGTTTCAACACAAGCAGTCCATCCCTTTCAAGACTCAGAGAACAAAGTGGCTTCTTCAAAGCTTAAAACCCTGCTAAACTGTGCCTACTCTGTTTCATCTACAATGAAAAAAGTACCGACTGCTCTTGCAGAGAACATGGGTTCAATTCCTAGCACCCCCATGGCCGCTAACAACTATCTGTGACTCCAGTTCCAGGGAATCTGATGCCTTCTTCTGACCTCCGTGGGCACTGCATGACACAATACATGCAGGCAATACAGTCATACACATAAAAATAAAATAGAAATAATGGACATAGTATTTTCATGGAGAAATATTAAGTGTAATGAGAGCATGTAACTTGTAGATCTTGCTCTTCTGGGGAGATCAGACAGACTTCCAGCAAAGAGTAAGCTGAGCCCTGAGGGAGGGGAGCTAGCTGAAGACAGTATATGTGAAGGCCTGAGGTAGGAGAACATGGCACTTTATTTTCTCTTGAATCTTCCAAGCAGTCTGTATGTATTTCCTGGTCTTGTAGGAGCAAGTATGTTTCTGCCATCAGAGGCGGACTCTGTTCTTAGCTTGATTTGAGATCTTCCTTTTTAGGTCATCAGATAATGAGCAGTAACTTAGTGAGTGATGATAGTCGTTGGTAGTTTGTATGCTCATACATGTATTTAGGCATTCATTAAGAGGAGGCTCTGGGGTGTCAATATCCTATTGACCAGAACTTAACCACCTGGCCATACCTAGCAGCAAGGGATGTAGGGAGGTGATGTCTTTAAGCTGTACAGCCATGACCTGCTAAAACTGTAGCCAAGAGGAGGAAGAAAAGCAGCAGGTATTCGCAAGCAGGCTGCCACACTGGATTTCCCAGATCTCTGTCCCTCTCCATCCCTATCTGCTTCTCAGTAGCCTATTTATCCCACAAAAGTCAGCTGAAATGGTATCTTTGGGATGTTTGCTCCCCAAAGAGAACCAAGCTGCCTTCCCCTCTCCCTCCTCTATGTTCCCAGTTTACCACAATACTTATCACACTGTTTTGTCAGCTTATTATTTATGTGCTTGGGTCTTCCACTAACTGAAACCTTCAAAGGCAAGGACCAGACTGTACCTATCTCTGCATCCTCAGGCACTCAGGAATGTGGGAGGTTCCATGAATATTGGTTTAGCCAGCAAAGCTCTAAAAATAATGGAAGAATAGTTCTCTCCAAGTGGGCAAGTGTACTTCAGAGGTTTTTGTTTGGTTCTTTGTCCTCCTTTGCCTGATACCCTTTTGCCAGGTATAACTTACTTCAAAAGAGGTAGATGCAAAACCATGAGTTTTCTCATGAAAAAAGGAAAAGGCCCATACTATATCTTAATTTTTGTCTAAATGCTATATACATCACATCTGGAATGTACTCTCTCTCCCCAGGCCTGCTGACATGCTGTGGACTCTAATAGATCCTCACAGAATGCAGACCCCCTTCTCTGCAGGGGCAAAGCAATGGGTGCTGGCTATAAAGATACACAAATGACAAGTGGCATTAGTGGGGCTGTTAACCCAAGCCTGTGGTCATGAGAAAGTCAAGAGCAATTTCTTAACCAGTTGGTAGTATGGAATAAAAATATTTATAAAATTAAAACAAATTGATTGGAATTCCTGGTTATAGCCACAGAAACCCACTCTAGATAGCTGATGTGGGATGGGGTCCTTTCGAAGCAAATACAAGAATTTCTTATCAAACTCAAAGTAAGGTATGCACCTGGGTCTTAGGTAGGAATAAAATAAGAACATGTACTATTAGATATTCTGTATGATTTTAGATTTCTCTTCCCTATGGCCAATCAGGGCACATGATTTTTCAAAGTCTGAGTTACATGCTCTAAGATACAAGGTTTTAGTTCCTGAACATAGGACTGTGTTAGTTTAACCAATGTCTGATAGTTGTCTTTGTCCGAAACATGAGCCACATTTACTTAATTCCACTTTCAAAGTTTCACAGAAGGATCTGGAATGACACCACTTGGGTTAGGTGTGCACCTCAGCATCATCCATTGTCCAAGTCAAAGCTGTTATTGTCACCTTATGACCAGTGAGGGTAGAGAAGGGACAGTGCTAAGAGTGTCACCATTGCCTACCAGAAGCTCTGGTGACATTGTCATGGTGAAAACACAGAATCTCAGTTCTGCCACCTGATAGCTATGTAACGTTAAGCTCACCGCTCAGCCTTCCTGAGCATCTGTTTTCTTGGCTGTGAGACACAGAAAACAAAACCAAACCAATCTACTTTGAGTTACTGTGACAATTAGATGGACAGGAACATGTGAACTTTCCATTTTTCTATTCCACACACAGTCTTCTTTCAATTTGCCAGGTTTGGGGTGAGCCAGGGTTGGGGAGTCTGGTATATGGCAGACTTACCACTCCTTTCAGTCTGAGAAGTGGTTATAACCCAAGCATGTAATATATAATATATACAGAGCATTGTTTCTCATGTAGTTTCTCATGTAGCCTACTAGGACATGGAAAGGAAGTTACCCTAGGCTGAGCTTCTAGGGCAGCACTGTCCAACAGAACTTTCCATGGTGATGGAGATGTTCTAGATCTATGTTGTACAATGTGGTAGTCACAGAGCACATATGGCCACAGGTTGAGGCACATGAGATACGATTAGTGTTAACTGAGGAACTGGACTGTCAACTTTAAGTAATTTTAATGAATATAAATAGCCTCATGTGGTTAGTGGACAGTAGAGCTCTAGAACACTGGTTTCCATCCTGGTTACACAGTAGACTTGCTGGAGAGATTTTTAAAGTAATATTGTATAGCTCCCACCTACAGAGATCATCCATCACATGCCCCCCACTCTCTACCAGACTGGGTTTTAAGGAGGTTTTCTTTTCTTTGTTTTGGGTTTTTTTGTTTGTTTGTTTGTTTTTTTGTTTTTTTTTTGAGGGGAGGAGAGTCTCATTCTGTAGTCCTGTCTGGCTTGGCACTTACTATGTAGGCCAGGTTGGCCTCAAACCTAATGGTAATCCTCCTGCCTCAGCCTTCCAAGTGTTGGGATTACAGGTGTGTGCCACCATATAGGGTTTCTAGGTGTTTTGTAATGCTCCCCTGGCACTTCAATTCTGCATCCTGGAATTGACCATGTATGGTGAGAAGAAGGACCAAGAGACCTCGGCTTCAGTGTTTAATCAGGCCCCTGCTCTGGCCTCTCCCCTCTGTAGCTGGGTATTTCTGCTGAAGGATCTGTGCTAATCAACAACAGAGGACTTCAGTCTAGGGTGCTTAGGTAGCCATTTTCCTTTCCCACACCATGTCTTCTCTCTCTTCACCAGGATTCGGGTGAGCCAGGATGGACAGTTTCTGCACTACATCTTTCCATACCAGTTCCTGGACTCTCCCGAATGGGAATCACTGCAGCCTTCTGAGGAGGGCACCTTCCAGGTAAGGAGGAGTCCCATGGCAGCACTGCTCTCTTGTCCTGCTGTAGCCCAGCAACGTTCCTGCCTCCCCCTTCCCCTCTCACACCTGCCCTTTGACCAACACTAAATGTGATACTAAGGATGTGTGGGATCATGACCTCTGCCGTTTGTGTGAGAAGAGTGCCTGAGCTCCCGGGGAGGGGGACAGGGCCAGTTGATGCTGGTCCCTGACAGGCAGTCATGTCATCCCTGTTGACTCTAGTGCCCACAAGATTTTTTTTTTTAAAATCAGCCTTTTTAGGGTAACTAAAAACTCTTTGTGAACTCTGACTGCAGCTCTGGCCTTCCCTGGTAGATTCTGCGCATTCTAGCCATACCAGTACCTCCCCGCCTCAGCCCCACTATTGCCCCTCTACTTGAAATGCATTTTCCCTTCTAAATAAGAGACTACAGCCCTGGCACTCCTGAGCCCAGTTCCCTGAGCTCTTCCTTTTGTCTAACAATCTGGACCTCTTTCCATTCTCTCTCTCTCTCTCTCTCTCTCTCTCTCTCTCTCTCTCTCTCTCTCTCTCCACACACACACACACACACACACACACACACACACACACACACATCCCTGAAGAGATATTATTGAGAACACAGGAGATTCTCAGTAAAGATTTGCTGAACTGGCTTGCTGGTGAGGAGTTGTCTCAGACGACTCTGTGGGGCATTTACACCTGTGAGCCCAGGGAGACCCTGGGTGCTTGGCTCCTGCTCTCTCTGGCCCTGCTTTCTTTTCTGCCAGTCCTCCACACTTGTAATTCCAGATTACTGAATGGCTAGCATATAGCAAGCACTGCATATTTTACTGCTTCATTGTTCTAGTTTGTTTCTCCATTGCTGTGACAAAACACTCTGACCAATACAAACTTGTGGAGGAAAGGGTTTATTTGGCTTATGTCTCCCAGGTCACAGTTCATAATTGAGGGAGCCCAAGGTAGGAAATCAGGGCAGGAACCTGGAAGCAGGCGCTGAAGCACAGGCCATGGAGGAACACTGCTTACTGGCTTGCTCCCCTGGCCCCTGCTCAATCTGCTCTCCTGTACAACACAGGCCCACTTGCCCAGGCGTGGCACCACCCACAGTGGGCTAGGCCCTCCGACAACACTCAAAAATCAAGAAGATGCCCCACAGATACAGCCACAGGACAGTCCAATGGAGGCAATTCCCCAGTTGAGGCTCCTTCAACCCAGGTGTGTCAAGTTGACACTAAAGCTATCTAGTACACTCACTGATTCACATAACTTGGGTTAGATATTATTATTGCTCTGTGTAACAGACACAGGAATCTAAGATCCCAAAACATCATGTATTCAGCCAGGAAGAGGCAAAGCCAAGAAGAAATCTGGGTCTACTATTGATGTTCTTTTTCAGAAATGGAAGGACCAGAAAAATGATCCACTCACCCCTCTTAGGGACTCCTCTGCCAGACAGTTCACTGGTACTGGGGTCTGCATGTCTCCTACCACCTCTACCAGGAACTCCTCTCTCCAGCATATGAGCCAACCCTGGAACAGATGCATGCCAAGCAGTGCCACTGGCTGGGCTGCTTCCGTCCCAACCCTGGCACTTGGCTTTATGGTGATATAGCTTGAGAAGCAGTCTAGATTCCACTGCCAGGGCCACCAGCCACTAACCCCCTCCACTCACGTTCCCACCCTGCCCTGTCTCCACCCTCTTTGACTAGTCCAGAGGCATCCTCTGGAAACTCCTTCAGGCCAGGAGAATGTCCAGGAGGCTGAGTGACCTGAACCAGCCAGACTAGGCTGTGACACTGACAGGAAGGAGCAGGTGGGTTGGTTATGCTTATCCAAGTTATACTCCAAAAGAAGGGCTGTAACCCCAGATGGCCTCTCGGCCTGGAATGTAAGTATGTTCATATTCCCCCCTTTTATATTTTTAGTGTAAGCCTCATTTAGAAGCCATGAGATCTACACACTTGCTGTTGGCTGTGTAAAGTCTCATTTCCTCTTTGCAAATGCCACATGTTGAGTTATAATTCTTCCTGACCTTGTCTTTTGTAATTACATAGCCTTTGTTGATTGAAAAGCAATCCTAGTGACTGCTTAAATCATAATTCACATCATGCTTAATACAAATCAATCAACATCCCATCACACCTCTCAGCATTCAGTTACATTGGGATCTGCTGACTGGTGGTGCTGTAACACTCTCACTAGTCCGTCTAGAGCACAGCGCAGGTGCCTCCCACAGAATTCATCATTAACCTCCAGTCTGCATCTGGTTTTACTGGACCAAAGTCCTGTTTACATGTGTTCTCATTTAGTCCTGTCAACCAACCTGAGGTGAGCACTACAGAAAAAGTCAAAGCTTTATTACAGGCAGTCCTGTAAGCATGTGGCAACCAGTGAATTCCTGAGGACTGAGGGAATGGTGCAGTGGGTAATTGCTTGCTGTGCAAGCATGAGGACCTGAATCCAAATTCCTCAGCACCCACATTTAGCAGGACCTGGTGGTACACGCCTGTAACCCTGGTGCTGAATGAGGCAAGGACAGGTAGATCCTGGAGGCTGGCCAGGCAGTTTAGCCAAAATGGCAAGGTTCAGTCTAGGTTCAGAACAGTAGAGGAAGGTACCCAAAGTCAGCCTCTGGCCTCCACACTCACATGCACAGGTGATCACACCCACACACAACATGCACACCCAAGCATACATATACATGCATACATATACACACAAACAAAATGGATTTCCAGAGCAACTTTGGGGAGGGACTTTATAAAGGTCAAGAGAAAAATGACACTCAGCTGTTTGGCAACATGTAAGATTCTTAGTCTTCATTTAATTCTTTCGCTCTCTTCAGAGATAGTTATGGAGAATGTACTATATGCCGGGCACTGTTAAAGGAGCTTGGAATACCCGAATGAACAACACGGATCTTGCTCTTATGCAATTACGCAATTTATATTTTATTAGAGATAACAAACCTCGGACATGATGAATAGGTAAATATGTTAGAAAATAATAATGGCTAATTTTAAAAACAACAGAGAACACAATGTAAGATTGCAGTTTTAGACAGAGTGCTTATGGAAGTGCTTGTTAAGTGGGTGACATCTGAGTTAGAGCTTGAGAGCAGTGACAGTATAACTCTGGTTATCCATGAGACAGAGGAAAGAGCAAGGCTAAGGTCCTGAAGGAGGGCTAGCAACTTTGGAGGTACAGAAAGAAGAGCACTGGAACAGAGGGAAGGGAGAAACTAGCAGAAGAGGAAGTTGCAGAGGTATCAGGAGAGCTGGATTGTGTAAGGGCCAGAGCATTTATCTTCTAGATGGAATCCAAAAGATTTCCTAACAAACTAGGCTTAATGAGGGTGGTAGTGGAAATTAGGGAAGATGGAGGCTTCTGACCTGAGCAACTGGGGGATGGAGTGGCTACCTAGGAGATAAGGGAAGCTGCAGGTAGAGCTGTCCTGAGGGGAATGGAAGTTCATTTGGGGATGTATTCAGTTTGCATCATATTGGACGGTCTAGTGGAGATGCTGCATCACAGTTGGATATTCAAGTTTGTAATTCAGGATTGAAGTCTGGGCTTGAAACATAAGTTAGGGAAATGGATTGTATGCAGATGATACTAAAAGCCATTGGATGGGATAAGATTACCTGTTACGTGAGTATGGACAGAGAAAGGGTTCAAGAGTGGCGCCTCTTAAGAAGTTGGAGAAGATAACGAGGAAACAGAAAATGTACCTGAAAAAGAGAAATCAGAAGGTTACCTCAGGACTGTATGGCACCCTGGGAACATGACAGTATATTAAAGAAAGGCAGACTACCAATGTGCAGCTGACTGTGGAGTTGGCAACTGAGGGCACTGGGGATCTTGATGGACCGGAACAATGATTGTGGTGCACAGCCTTATCCAGGAGACTGTGAGAAGAGAGGAGACAGTTAAGTATAGACATGTTTTGCGGAGTTTTTCTTAAAACTCCGCAAATGAAGTTAGCCATGAAAGTGAGGTGTAGAAAAGGATTTTCATATTTTTTTTAGATTTTATTTATTATTTTTATTTTATGTGTATGAGTATTATATTGCTTACATGTATGTAAGTGTACATATGTCATGCAATGCCAGCAGAGGTCAAAAGAGGGCGTTGGATCCCCTGGAACTGTAGTTACAGATGGTGGTTAGCCACCATGTGGATGCTGGGAACTGAAACTGAGTCCTCTGCAAGAGCAGCCATGCTCTTATCCTGTGAGCCATCTCTCCAGCCCTGGGATTTTCATATTTTAAATTTTTTTTAAAAAGAAGCAATAGTCACCTTCACAGGGGAATGTCCGTGATCTTTGTGTTAGGCCCTAAGGACTTTGTTTTCATCCAGGTCAGCTCTTCAAGCACACTTGATCCATGCTTGGCACTGACTTACTGTCTAGGGATTGTTGGTGAGGACATCCGTGACAACTACTTGCTCAATGGTTAGTAACAGGCAGATTGGGTGTTCTCTTCTGAATTCTCTCTTGGGAGGTAGCATGCCCAGACTCAGCAGTTGGTTTGGTGGCACACAGCTGATAAAGGCGTAAAGCAAAACAGTGACCAGCTTCTAGCCTGGATGACTAATTTAGCGCCTTGCTGACAGTCAGGAGAGGTGAGAAAGCTGGGAGGAGGAAATGAATAAAGGAAGTGGTACAGCAGACACAAGGAAAAGGAGAGGAGGGATGTGAGATGAAGTAGGCAAGATTTTCTTTTTAAAGGTGTGCCTTTTTAAAAGATTTAGTGTGTGTGTGTGTGTGTGTGTGTGTGTGTGTGTGTGTGTGTGTGTGTATGCACTAAATTGTGAGTGCCTGCAAAGCTAGAGATGTTGGATGCCAGAGTTGAAGGTAGCCTTAAGGACTTTGTTTTCATCCAGGTCAGCTCTTCTTCAAGCACACTTGGTCCGTGCTTGGCACTGATTTACTGTCTAGGGATTGTTGGTGAAGACATCTAAGGTACAGGCTATGTGACAGCTACTTGCTCAATGGTTGGTAACAGGCAGATTGTGAGTGTTCACTTCTGAATTCTCTCTTGGGAGGTAGATGGTTGTGAGCCACCCCACATGAATGCTGGGAACCAAACTTGAGTCCTCTGCAAGACTGGAGCCATATCCCTAGTCCCAAAAGGCATGAATTTAAGGGGATGTGTATAATCTCTTACAGAATGATTTATAATCTAACCCTGTCTTTCATAATTCATATAAAGTACTCAATACAGCACCCACTACACAGTGGCATCTCTGTGGATGCTACCTGCACTTATAATCTTCACCATTTCCACTCTCTCCACCCACAAATACACGTACACCTTGATGATCAATCAAATTATTAAAAGTTGTCTAAGTTTATACCTTTTCTTGTACATTCTGGGAATATTTCCATTTTAGTCTTATTTTTGCCACTCATCTTTTGTTTTGTTTTTGTTTGTTTTTGTTTTGGGGGGTTGTTTTGATTTGTTTTGTTTTTGAGACAAGGTCTCACTCTGTAGTTTAGGCTATCCTGGAACTCACTGTGTAGCCTAAGCAGCTTTCCAACTCCTGATCTTCCTGCCTCCTCCTCTTTATGAGTGCTCAGCTTATAAGGCATGAGCCCCCATGCCCAGCTCATCATTTTAACAAGGATTTATGGAGCATCTTCTGTATGTCAAGCACATGTTACTTATTTGTCCTTCAAGTGTAATTTAGTTGCATCCTAAGCACAGTGAGTGCTCAGAAATTCCTAGGTGTATAAATAAATGGAGAGTGGGTCCCCTGACATTCTGCTCGTGAGTTAGGGTTTTTTTGTTTTGATTTCCTGTGCCTTTATTCTCTGCCTTTAGTCATGAAAACTTTTAAGTCTGTAAACAAGTTAGGGACTTGAATCTCAGACCGAGGGTCTGCCCATTTGCTACAGCTTGACATACCTGATCGGAAGTCTTTTTTCTCACTAGCTTTTTTCCAGCTCTTTCAGTGACCATGAGTCAAAGAACGGTATGGTCTCAGTTGTCTTGTTGCTGTTGTTTGATGTTTTCTTTTTTTCTTTTTTGCTCTACTGGAGATTCAACCCAGGGCCTCATGCATGCTAAGCAAGTACTCTGTCTACTACTAAGTACTAAGTACTATCTCTACTACTTAGCAATATCCAAAAGCTTTACTTTCCCTTGTAAATTGAACTCATTCTGCAGTCCAAGTTGGCCTTGAATTTGCCATCCTCCCACCGCAACCTCCCAAGTAGTTGGGATTACAAGTGTGGTTTTCCTTCTTTACTCTTAAAATGAATAATCATGGGCCAGTGTGGTGGTGCACGCCTTTAATCCCAGCACTTGGGAGGCAGAGGCAGGAGGATCTCTGTGAGTTCAAGGCCAGCCTGGTCTACATAGTGAGTTCCAGGACAGCTGGGGCTACAGGGAGACCCTGTCTCAAAAAGACCAAAATAATAATAATAATAATCATCATCATCATCATCCCTGGTTTGGCCTGTCTTCAGTGCACTAGGAAACCTCCCCTTCTTATCATTAGGGTTAGACTCTTTTAAAAATTTTATTTATTATTTATTCATTTATTGTCTTTTTAAAAGTTTTTATTATTTTTATTTTATGTGTATGCGTGTATTGCCTGCATGCAGGTAAATGCACCCATGTTGTACAGTGCCTGCAGAGGTCTGAAGAGGCTGTCAGATCCCCTGGGACTGAAGTTACAGACAGTCGTTAGCTGCCATGTGGGTGTTGGGATTCAAACCTGGGTCTTCTGCAAGAACAACCAGTGTTCTTAACCACTGAGCCATCTCTCCAGCCCCTATTTATTGTCCTTTTGAGACAGGGTCTCCCTGTAGCCTCAGCTAGCCTTGCCCTCATATATGTAAGTACACCACACGTGTGCAGTGCCTGTGGAGACCAGAAGAGATTGTCAAACCCCCTGGATCTGGAGTTACAGATGATTATGTACTGCCAAGTGGGTGCTCAGCCCAGGTCCTCTGGAAGAGCAGCCAATACTCTTAACCTCTGAGCCATCCCTCCAGCCCCAGGCTTAGAACTTTTGTAGTTATTGCTGATGTCAGCCATGGAAGCACAGAGTATGGAACTGAGGTTCCAGGAGGTGATGAGCAAGTGAGCTGGAGGCTGACCTCAGGCCCCTGACATAGGGCATCCATATCTCAGTGCACAGACGTCTGACCCTGGACTTCCTCCAGGCAAGGCCATGGAGATCGACCAAAGTAAAAATAGCCAGCTGTTTCTCTGCACTCAGCATGGACACATTTCTAGTTTAAACCTTCCCTCTCTGCTTCTCATCCCCTCAGGTCACTCTCACTGCTGAGACTGATTGCAGCTACATTTCCTGGCCCCGGAAAAGCCTCCACCTTCTCCTGAACAGAGAGAGATATATCTCTTGCCTCTTCTCAGCCCTGCTGGGCTATGACATTTCAGAGAAGCTCTACACCCTTAACGACAAGCTCTTTGCTAAGTTTGGGCTGCGCTTCGACATCCGCCTCCCCAGCCTCTACCTTGTCCTGGGTCCCTCAGCCTCAGATGGAGGGCCAGAGTCTGAGAAGGATGATGAGGAAGTCTTCGAGGCAGCTGTATCCCCTGCCCTGGCCAGGCCCATCACTGTCCTGCCAACACCCCCTTGTTCGCCCCCTCCAGCTGTCACCAACTTCCCTGCACCTCTGCCCCGGGCCAGGATGTCCAGGCCTGACAGCAGCGTGCTGGGTGAGGACTCCACCAGTCTGGTGCTGGAGGATTTTGAGGAGGTGTCAGGATCAGAGTCGTTTATGGATTATAGGAGTGATGGGGAGTACATGAGGTGAGGGCAGAACTAACATGGGCACAGTCACCGACTCAGGATCCCATGTAAGTATGCAGAGGTGAAAGCCGCCTGTTCCTGTCAGAGCTGGCCTTGTTCAGCTGTAAGGCAAAAGCACTGCTTTATAGAGAGCTCTTTTCAGAGGACTCACATCAAGCAGCATTAACTCAACCCTGCAGCACATAGCAGGTGCATGCATAGCATGAAGGAAATTTTCTAAACCTTTCTAAACCCATGATTAGCTGTGATTGCATTTTGGAGAATGGGTTCATTGACATTTTGAGCAGGCAGGTGGGCTGCTAAGTTGTTTTTGTTTCTAGATTTTGCTGATAGCTAAGACCATTGCTGTGCTAAGGAGATTTTGTCTGTGACATGTCTGTGGCATGAGTCTGCTTCCTATTGAACGTTTTCCTGACATACAGACATTCAGGAATGCAGCTGCTGCTTAGCCTCAACTGTATTAAGTGTTTCAAAGAGACTGGTGATTGCAGGCTAATAGTTTTGGCAGACAAATGCCCCTGTCTTGCTTTCCTCCTGTCCAGTGGAGGATGTGCTGGTCACTCAAGCGGAGATCTGGTGATGCTTTGATTAAACATTGCCGTAACAGGTAGAGGACAGCCTGGCTTTCCCCAGCAACCCAAAGTGTGGGCAGTGGGCTCGGCCTAGCCCCTGGTGGCCTTGAAATGGGTGCAGGATTTCCTTGCCAGGAGTGTGTACCAGAAAGGTGTTGCTCGGCAGTTCTGGGAAGCGGCTTTCATGTTCCCCTAATTGCTCTCACAACACTGTGACATTTTCCTCTGGGCTCTATCCAACTATAGTGGAGCCCTGGCTTTTCCTGAGGAAAATCCCACCATCCTTAACCTGGAAGGCATTTTCTTTTTTAAGTGACAAGGGTGCCACCAAAGAGACCCACCAGTCTTTGAGAAGCACCAACAAATGTCTTTGAGAAACTCACCCAGTGAGGAAGGCTTCTGTGGTGCAGGAAGTAAATAATTGAATGTGTTTTCAGGGCAAGTCATGTAGTGATGAAAGAAGTGAGATGGGTGAAGGCCAAGGGAATAGACATTTAACATTAGCAATATAGAATTTATCTTCTCCCATAGAGGAATCTCAAGGCTCTGAGACCTGTGGTGACTTCCCCATTCACACTGTCCTCCCTGCCCTTTCTTGCTCAGGACACCGCCGTCACCTTCCTGCTCCATCCTTCCATGCTGACCAGTGTGGCCTGTGGATGCATCTGCTGCTGCCCCACATGCCTCCCACCTCTTCAGCTCACAGAGCTCTCTTCTCTTTCTGTCCACTGTTTTCCTTTTCCCCTTCTGACTCCTGCTGGGTTCTGGTTGCTTCAGTTTGTGACTCAGAGTGCCTTCTTCTCCCAGGTCACGCTCTTCTCCAGTTCCCGACTTCTCCCGTTTTGTGGCTGGATGTTTAGCCCTCCTGTTGGTTTCCTTCCCTTTGCCCACTCTTAGACCTTGTTCTCTCGTCTTCCTCCTAAAGCCTTGAAATGACATTTTGCTGTTTTTTTTTTTAATCCTAACTTCTCTGAGGTCAATATCTATTTCTCTGACAATAAAGAAAAGCATTCAAGTGAAGGCCTGAAAAGTCCCAACTTTAACAATGTTTCCCAAACTCAAGAGGACAGGCAGCATGGTTAATAAATAAGACAGACACCAGACCTTTTATGTCTGGCCCAGCTGCTGCACACCTCTGTGACATTTTGCAAACCAAACCACCTCACTGAGCTTCCTTCTCTTAGTGAGCTGTTGGAACTGCTGTCCCCACGAGCAGTGGGGAGTATGGGAAGGCAAAGATGTGATTTTCAAGAGCTGGAGAGTTGGCTCAGCTGTTAAGAGCACTTGATACTATTTCACAGGACCCACATCTGACCTCCTCAGACATTGCATGACACAGTACACTTACATACATGCAGGCAATATACTCATACACATAAAATAAAAATAGTAATAATAAAAGAGTAGGGAAAGAAAAGCAGTTGGTCATGCAGACACTGTCTAAAGTTTGCACAACTTTTATTATGTTTTTACCTTGTTCTGAACATTCTGGAGTTTGAAAATAAAAGCTACATGTTGTTTCCTTTCTCTCTGTTATTTAAATAACAAAAGAATAAATAGGTGACAATTTAGAGGCAAATGGTCGTTCAAGGAATGATCCTATGACAGTTTGGGAACATCCTTGTGAGGGGACTTGAAGTCAAGGCTGAAAGTTATAAGGACTTCAGCTTGGTGTGAATAACGGCTAGCTCATCAGGTAGTGACTTACTCATTATGTGGAGAGTTCAAGCAAGGACCCCGAGAAATCTTGACATTTTACAAAGTGATTCAGGCTCTGGGAAAAGGATGCCTTAGATTTCTGCTGTTAAGGTGATTTGTAACTCTGCTGGGCTCTGCTTGTGTGGCTGTAAGATCTGGATTCCTGTCTGCATTATCCGCCATCAGGAGAGCACCATTGCTGTGCCTCTCTCTGTCCACCTTGTGGATTTCTGTGGGTATAATTGAGGTCATGTGTACAGTGGCCATCTGGAAGGTGTAAAGCACTATTTGAATGTAAAATATAGCTTAAAAATTCTGTCATGTGTGGAATTGTTTAGCTGTTTCTTCTGTCTCTCCCTTTTCCCTTCCTTTTCTTCCTCTTCTCCTCTTCTTCCTCACTCTTCCTCTCTCCTCCTCCCCCCTCTCTCATCAGAGATGTTAGCTTCTTCTGATTTCTCCCAGTTTGGTAGCTGGCAGAATCCTCTCACAACAAGAGCAACCTAGGTGGAGCCCTAGCCCTCGGTCTAGCTCCTTAGCTGCAGAGGAGCCAAGCGGTGACTGTACCTCAGGCTGCTTGCCTTTATGCATTCTGCCATAGACAGATCTGTTGTAGTGCATTCAGGCTCTTCCCCCCAGGGAAAACTGGTGCTTGTCAGTGCATGTAAGCAGCATTCTTTTCTTTTCTTTCTTTTTCTTTTTTTTCTTTTTTTTTTTTTTTTTTTTTTTTTTTTTTTTGTCACAGAGCCCCTGGAAAGACTCCTGGGAAGACACTTTGCTTCTAGAAATGGGCCATCAGGCTCAGGGTCTCCAGCAGTGCTGTTGTGCTGGCCAGAGGTTCCCTGTGTGGGTCAGCTACAGGGCAGCAGTCCCTCCCTGCAGCCCACAGCTCTCAGGTCACACTTCCGCTCTACTGCCTCATCTCCCTACCCTCCCTTTGTGGAACTAAAAGCCTGGTGTCTTACAGAACTGCTCACACTTCAATATAGGTTTTGTTTTTTCCTTTGACTCATCTATTAGAGTTAGGTAGGAAGTAGAGTTCTTCCTACAGACCCTCCATAAGAAGTGGCAAAAGTGGATTTCTTGGTCTCCTCACCTACATATGAGAGTGTGGGACCAGATGACTTCAGAATGGAGTTGCTCAATAATATTCCAGAATGGAAGGATTCAAGGGCACCACCATCCCTACACTTAGCCATTGAGCACAGTTAAAATTGGGATTGGTAGAGGAACTGAAAACCTGACACAAATCCTGTGAAATCAGGAAAGCCATCTGGTATCAGGTGCTGAAATCCTTCTTTTTCTTTCCACAGATTCTAGAACTCCTTCTCAGAACTCCTCTCACGTTACATCCAAAGGACAGGCCCCTTTGGCTCCAGTTCATACTCCTGAACTTTAAGCATCACTGGACTGTTGTCTCTGCTACAGGATGGCTCTCTTCTGTGTTCACTGGATGACTCACTTGTGTGCATATCCCTTTTCTCACCCACCAGGAAGCTCCAGGACAAGGTGGGAATTGACATGAACTGACAGCAACACAGCAGCCCCAAGAGTGCTGTGGAGCAACCCACCTTCATGAAATTCACAGAAGGGGTCCAGAGGCGCCAGGCCTGACTTCATGCTTTCCGGGTTGTAGGACCATGGCAGGTTGTGGAGCCTCTGAGCCTTATCTGTCAAGTGGGGGTATAACCCACCTCACAGGCTTGTTGTGAAGATCCAGTGAGTTGATTTAGGAGAATCACCTATCACATGGTGTGGCACCTAGCAAGCACTCAATAAATTGCTCAGCTCCTCTCCCTATGTTGTTTCTTTAAATTGTCTAAAAGGATTCAACAGTTTTATTTCTGGTTATTGTTTGTTCTCAAGTGTTTCAATTTATAGAAATAGAAATTAAAAACCTATGTTTTCCTTAGATTTTAAAGTTTAACTTAGAAATAATCTTTTTCTATTTTCT